CGACGGGAAAACAAGGCCGTCCCTCCTGTCCGCTCCTTGGCTAAACAGAGCTTTGGAGGGTCTGGGTTTTTTTTTCCTTCTTTACAAAATTCACGCTCTGAACTTACTGCGTTCGTGCGCAGAAGAGCTTCGCTCACGTGACTAGTGCCGCTGCTGCCTCGTGGGGTCAAATCTACCGGGGAGAACGCGAAGAAAAACCCTAGAGCCGGTCGCTAAATGACAAATGCTCTAGAAGTCAGCGCGACGACGTTAACAGCGCACAGAAACGCGGGGCAGAGCCTGCAAACCCCCTAATTAGATGAGTAATCCTCATGTGAGTGCTGAAGTCATCGGCCCCGGATCACTTGATGTGCACCACAGGGCTTTTGGAAAAAGAGCCACACGCGATACCGTCTAAATGAGGCAGATTCCACGTGGACACAGATATCTGCCTAGATTAATCCCCCCTTGCAGCATGTGGGCCTCTGCGTGTCCGTAATATTCCCCCGTTACGGAGTTTAAAACCTGCGACTGGGAAGATGATTGAATTTTTGGGAAGGAAGTATGAAAACACACAGCTGCAAAACAGCATTAGCTTGGAGTGAGGCTGATGGCAGATCATCCCTAAAACACATGGCACATGAGCAGCGCTGCAAAGGCAGCAGGGGAATAACTTTAAATTCATCATGTTTTGGGGTAAAACATCTTCTATTCATAGGGGCCTAGTGGGAAGCTCTAATAAAACCCAAAAATGAAACAGAAAAGCTGGGGTTTTTTTTAATGTCCCAAGACTGTCCCTGTGGATCAGCATAGTTTGGTTTTGAAACAAGGATGTCAGATGGAAAATGGGGTTGCAGAGCAGGAAAAAGTTTGAAAACAAAAAAACCCAACAAACTAAAACAGGGAGTCAGTGCCTCATATTTCAAAAAACAGTTTCTGAGCAACTGCTACAGTTGGATGTTTGCTGCTTGGGTAACCAAGTGAAGCCTTGCTACAGCAGAGCCACAGAGGCATCTGAGATTTGGGCAACACAATTATTTTTGTAGCTTGACTGATGCAACCACGTTGGTCAATTTTCCTTTCAGCTGGCTGCCTACAATGGCTATTTAATTAGCAGAGGTGGGAGGAACAAACAGTTCTTGTCCTCTGCTGTGGTGTGAAAACCTTTGGTGGCCTTTGGAGCAGGTGTTGCTGTTGAGTACAGCCATGCCACAGCGATGGCCGCGGCCGTAAGACCAGGCCCAGCGTCAGGGCAAGCTGCTCCTCTGGCTGGAATAGCTTCTGTGTGTTGGTGAAGCCCAGCCTCACAAGAGCCTTTAGAGATCTCGGGATCTGTGCTCTGGCAGATTGGGGCACTTGGGCTGTGGGCATGAAATAGAAGCTGAGGTGCTGTGTGTGGAAATCGTGTGTCTTTCTGGTAAAGAAATGAGGTGTCTCTGATGTCTAAAAGAAATAGCTCAACTGTGGTTTTCAGGAACACAGCTTTGGAAGGAGGTGGTAGTTAGGGGCTGAATTCCTTCTTGGGATCTGGGTATGTGTCACACCTGGGGAAAATGGCCTGGCAGAGACAGCAGAGAGTCACACCAGACACCAGAAGGATGTTCTTGCTCTGATGCATGCATCTGCTGGGAAGAATCTATCAGGTAGTTGGCTTCCCTTTTCTGACAATCCTGTGATTGCAGTAACTCCACTCTGTGCGCAGTAACCATTGACAGTAAGAACCTCAATTCAGTCATTAACTCTAAAACAATCCAGAGTGTGGCCGTCTGATCGTGAATATTTTTCAGCGCAAAACACTTTGACAGATGTTGGTTTGTGTTCTCCACCCTGGGGGTATGTATTCAAGCCTTAAAGAGGAAATGGAGGTGAAGAAGCTGGGAAGCCAGCCACTGTGCCTAGGAGGAATTCTCCCAGCCATGGCATCCTGCGTGTTGCCATTCGACATGAGAAGGGTTAGGTACCTTTTGATAGCTTTTAGGCTTTTCCCTAGCTCGGTGTTTAAATTCCAGCCAAGCTCTTCCCTCTCATATAAAAGCCTGCTCCTACTGATACGTCAGGTATTTGAATGAAATCTCCTACAGGAAAAAAACAGTCGTGGCAGGGGCTAAATAGCCTTCGCTGGCATTGATGGTAACCAGGAGCCTCTTGAGGGTCTAGAGCCTTCCAGGGGAAAAACGGGCAGGAGGGAACAGGCAAAAGGCGAATTTCCAATAAGGAGAGCAAGCTTTTCTCATAGCAAGGAAACCATCTCTTGCATGTGGAAGGAGTGGGGAGAGGTGGCACATACACCTTCGCTTTGCTTGTAGCATTACCCTTACCAAGTGGTATCGTGATCATCTAGGTGGAGGAGGAAGAAGGGGCTGCAGCCCAACCTTTAGGGGCTTTAATAGCATGAACCGTCAAGCACTAAACTGCCAGTCCCAGCTCCTCTAGGATCTCCAGACAATAAATGCTGCCATCTGGTGCCCCGAGTCCGGCTGCACACATCATGCGTGCTGGTCCAGCATCAGTACGCAGCAATGTTTCGACACGGTACTTGTTAAATGGAGAGAGCGGTCTTTGCTTATCCTTTGGATTATCCAATGGATTACCTGCCCCTGCACTAGCTTTCAGTACTGTTGTAGGAAAAAACACTGACTTCAGAGAGAGTCGAGTAGTCCTGCTAATAGAATGCTATAGAAAGGAATGTGGAATCTATACCTTGCATTCTCCTCTTGCTTTGAGTTACTTCTCGTTTATGTCAGGACAGATAAGTTTGGGGTTTTTTTCTCTTATACAGTGGAAAAGTGAGAAGAAAGCGGAGAGCTTTGTCAGAGGCCAGTATGAGTTTGGAAGAACCCTGATCACAAGATCTAGACACCAGAAAAATCATCAGTTCAAAACCTTTTTTTGGATATCGTGAT